CCTCATTCTTCTCATTGCTTCGTTGTATGTCCACATCGCTGCTCAATCACGGGTTTTTTCTCACACCCTTGGTGTTGGCACACGATGCCAAACAGTGTGCTTCTTAAAAACTACTGGCCATCGTCTGCCTTCCTCTTCGTTGTTGCAATCGTCATTTGAGGTATGAGAGTCAAAGCTCGAGTACCCAGATGAATGATTCGTCATGTCATCCTCTTTATTTGGCTTGAGTGTATTCTATTGCTGTCATTTACCGTCTACTCCAAGATGTGATGACTTAAAGTGTTTCGTCTAGATGTTTACACATTTGCAACGTTTTTTTTTTCAACCCGCCCTTCTCAGTCATATTTCAAGTCTCCGCCCTTTGCGAGGCAATGGTTTTACACTTGACAAAAATTGTCCCTTCATAGTACTATTTCGGCTTCAAGCACAAAAACGAGCATCAGCGATACATTGCAAGTGACTTGTGCTGCAACCCTCGTGATTGCTCCTCTGCTGGAGGCCAAGATGTCGGATAAAACGGAAATTTTATATCATATCTAAACCACTGTCAAGCAAAGAGTGAAAAGGTTAGCGTGCATGTGTGTGTGTTGCTTGACAGCCATTTTCACAGATTTGCATTAGCACCACGTTTCTACACACGATGTGCCCTGCATTGACAGCTTTTAGCGCGTCGTAGAAAAATGCGCCTTTGGTTTCTTCTTCCATGTTGAACTCTGACCGTCTAACAGACATCTGCTGCTTTTTGGCTTCCATACGGAAAGCTCACAGGCTCTGGTAAATGGCGTATGCTTAACCAGTTTGTTCAGCAGGCCTTCTGTCTTCATCACCTCTTCCCGGAAGGAAATACTGTTGTTTCTTATGAGGTTTTGCCGTTTAACTCTTCTCATTATGCGTCATAGCCAAAGCTGTTCTACGTCGTTCAACTGTTATTCTTCGTTTTTTATCAAAACAACCGTCCACAGTCCAAACAGCAGCGCTGACGTGACCGAGGCAAGAAACAAACCGTGTTTTTGAGGAGAGCTTGACTCATTTTCTGCCCAGCTCTTGAGAAGCAACCTCAGGCGGTATGCACTGAAGATGAGGACGTTCTTCCTCCTCTTATTTAACTCTGGTTGCATTTGTGCCGTCACAGGAGTTGATGGGTCTGAATTATTTAAAATGGCCACATCAACCTCTTAAAGCGGTTCGCCGTATTGCTATACCAATTTGTCTGCTGTATCGAATTGACTTCTCATCACTTTTAACCTCTAGACGTTAAGGAAAGAGTTTGTTTCGAATGCCGTCAGGTGATGGAGCTCGCTTCCTGTACTGCTCATTAGAACAATGTCAACCGTGTACTCCATTTTGAAACGTATCTGACAGGTTATGTTTCTCACTTGCTGCACTTACTCTAAAGCTGTAAGGATGGCTTACTGATGTTAGAAATCTCAAAAGCAACAAATGGAAACTCCCCTGAATTAATTCTTCAAGTGGAGTGCAGGTTAATCATTAATGCTAACTTTCTTGTTATCAAACAAAAGTATGAGGAAAGAAACTATAGGAACAATTGGTCTTCGTAGTCAACGTCAATGAAAACTTTGTTTTACGATTCTCTGGGGTCGCCCTTCGTCAAATTCCTAAGGGTGCTTGCCACGTTGTGATCATTAAACCGCTAATATATTTTTTTGACCAACGCTATGAATTTGGCGAAAAATCTTTAAGTAAACTTTTACCTGCTTAGATTAGCAGGAATAACACATAGCAGTAAGGCAGAATAACATTTTATCAGTAGTGATACAATGCAGCCATTGAGAGCCATCAGTCTGTTTCGAAAATAGTCTATGTAAAGGTCAGAAGTACAAACGCCCCGACAACTACACAACTAGAGGCAACCATAAGTAACTCCGCACGTTGGTGTTAA